TCACAACACATGTCATGAACCTTCAGACTTCAATTTCTGTACAGTTCATTTTATTCCCATATAATGTATTAGCTTCAAAATTAATAACCGTAGCTAATGATTTAAGTCAAAGGATTTTCTGACATGACGTCACCACAGTGACTGGAAGCTATAACATGCTAAAATATGGCAAAGTAATTACACTAATGCAAACTAACACGGAGGTCAAAATGTTAGAGAAATCGTGTTTCAGTTCCCACAGTGGATTTATCAGAGTATTTCGTAAAACCGAATTATCACCGAGATGTTTCTATCTGTGGCCCGTGTAATTATTCTAATGTCTGCCGTCCCTGTTACTACGAGCTGGTAATACGTGTAACCTTCAACGTAATTTATCGCATAGTTTTCCATTTGAACTAGATCTAGCGTGTTATTATGTTTATGGCGGGTTGCTTAAAATTCTTTTATGTGACCAGAATGAGCATTCCTAATTGTGTTTTGCCTCTGTTCATTACTGTTCATATTTTAATGCAACAAAAGATTATTTTATGCTACAATTTGTTATCTTGTGCGAGTTGTTTAAGACGGCATCTATGTGCTTGCAATCATTGATAGAAATTAATTCACGGATTGTGGGACATTTATAGGAAACTATTTCCAATTTGTCTGTTGTTCCTCAAGTGGCACTGCAGATATATCACTGTCTTTTCGTCGATTATTTTAGAAGTTTTACTACATTAGGGGTCTCAGTTGCGCTATGGACTACTTGTTACCATCTATTAGTATAGATCTATTGCTGTTTTAGGTCTTTCTATCTACTCGTCCAAAGTAACAAATTCCGTGTTGTCAGTTTTATATTAATTTTTTTTTACCAGCATAATAATATACCTCCTCTCCCTCTTTCTAAACTTAAGCTTAAATGACAGATATCATTATTTCCACCACTAAATGTCATCAACCTTTGATAGGTTTTGGAACCGGCAGCGCCTTTTGTACCTGTCACTCATCGTGATGAACGCTTGGCATTCAATTGATCCATAATGCGCCAGCTATGTCCGATGCTTAGCCTGTCGCCATCCCAAGCACGTTTGATTCAGTTGCTAATGGAAATATTAATAATTCAATAGTTACATGCATTTCATCGCAATACTGTAAACAAAATTAGTTTATCAATGCTCACACTTTCTATTACATTATAATTACATGGCAATAAAACTTCCAGAGCATAAAATAGAACATGAGTAGATATTATTCCGTATAAGTTATTTAGAATTTGTGGTATCATTAAGTTTAATAAAATAAAGTTAATATTTTTGCCGCACACATTGTCTAGAAAAGGTTGTCTGGAAAAGCACAAATAACATAAGACATCAATCAATTGAGTATTGTTCCAAATATCCTATATGTAACGCAATATTCGTAGCACATGCCAAATACATTTAAGATGAACAACATTTCAGCCATATTACATACGTGAATATATTTACAAGTGTCTAAATATCGTCGATCGATACTCATACATTTGTTTCCAATTACCAGGGACCCGAATATTTCGCAGTTCTATCGATCCACTGCACCCAACACTTGCATTGCTTGCAGTAATTTATAGTGGAAGGGGAGTTTCGTATTGCACTATACCCTATCTACAGTAACCACCCTTATTTTAACTGTAATAAAGACCATAATTGCCGTGTATAGGGGATTTAAGCAAGGGGTTTGACCCACGTGTTACATCCATTATTGCGTGATCCCATTTTTTGTGGATGTTCGAATGCTCTAGTAGGAGGCCGTACAGTCAATTGAATTTGTTTAGCGTGGTTTAAAATGCGGATCATTTTAATTTGAACATGTGAACATAATTTCTTATACCACAATCAGGTTCATTACAATTTTCTTTGAAATAATTCTTTATTGTTTTCTCAAAATTATTTTCATCGTTAAGATGGTTACATATATCTTGTTCTACGCCATTTCCATTTCTTGTGCCATCTTTTTAATATCCGCTTGTAATGAAATTTAACATCCTTGTACAAAGCAGTTGTTAGGCCGACTTGTTGTTCATTTTCTGCACGTTTTTGTATAATTATAACATTAGCTTTTATGAGAATAGCCTCTTTACTGTTATTATTGTTCAGTTAGTGAAGTAACGAGCGTGTTAGTTGTGTTACTTAAGGTACCAAATATCAAGTTTCATTCCATTCCATTTTCATCCTAAAATCTAGGAAATGTAGATTGTATTTGGATTCAAAATGTATTTCGGTGTAAACCAAAACTTCCATAAATCCCCCACACCACATTGTATCTGTTTCCGAGCTAGAATTTCTAACAAGGTGTTGCCGTCAGTCATCTGCCAATATTCGCTATAATTTGTCTTTCATTTTCAACTGGAGCTCCAATTTTGAGAGGTCTAGAACATGAGTTATCTCGATAGACTATTTAATCATATTAGCAAGTAAATAGACATATTTAAATGGACCGATTTTACCTTAAGAAAGAAGCGGAGGGAAATATTTTGTATCTTTTATCATTAAATGCTGCGTCACTTTAACACGAATTGTATTTTCCATGACCATCAATACGGGTTCACCAAAGGACGTTGCACTACGGACGCAGGAGTATCACTTATAAAACAAGTTTTCAACTCGTGGGAAAAAGCACAGGATGCCATCGGAATATTTTGTGACCTTTCAAAGGCATTCGACTGTGTTGAGCACGAGACGCTGTTACTGAAGCTAGAACACTACGGCATTCGGGGGGTATCCCTAGATTTATTGAAATCATACCTTCAAGAAAGAAAAATTAAAGTACAAGTCAACAAAGTTAACTCACTGGGTGCTAGCGTATCTATGGGCGTACCGCAGGGCTCAATATTAGGTCCTTTTCTATTTTTAGTTTATGTAAATGACCTGCCCCATATGTTCCAAAATGAACCGCATATGGTATTATTCGCTGATGACACTTCATTGATTTTTAAAATAAATAGACGAACAAACAAATATGACGAAGTTAATAATGCCTTAATGAAGGTTCAAAATTGGTTTACAATAAACAACCTATTACTAAATGATAAAAAGACTAAATGCATTAGATTTATTTTACCAAATGTTAAAAGTAATGTATGTGATGATATATTATTAAATGATCAGAAACTAGAATTTGTAAAAGAGACTACTTTCCTGGGGATCACTGTAGATGAGAAGTTGCAATGGGGGCCCCACATCAAGTCTCTAGCAGGACGATTGAGCTCTGCAGCTTATGCTGTCTGGAAGATCCGTCAGCTAACCGATGTGGGCACGGCAAGACTAGTGTACTTTAGCTACTTTCATAGCATCATGTCGTATGGAATTCTGTTGTGGGGACAGGCATCTGACGTTGAGTCTATCTTTATCTTGCAAAAGCGTGCCGTCAGAGCTATATATAACTTAGGTCGTCGCGAATCTCTCAGAGAAAAGTTTAAGGAGATCAACATTCTGACCGTACCGAGTCAATTTATTTATGAAAACATTATGTATGTTAGGAAAAACCTACACTTATTTGTAAAGGTATCTGACAAACATGATTATCATACTAGACATAGGAATAGATTGAGTCAGCCTTTATTTAGATTGGCAAAAGTGCATAAATCATTCCTGGGTTTCTGTGTTAAATGTTATAATAAAATCCCAGTTGAAATTCAAAATCTAAATGAAAGCAAATTCAAATTATGTATAAAGAAACATTTATGTAAACTAGCATACTACAAAGTAAATGATTATATACAAGATAAAAATGCTTGGAGGCTAGCTGGTCCTACTCCACAGGATGTTTAGAGGAATTTTTGATTTTAATTATTAATTTGTACACTATGTTGTTAATTGTTGATGATCTTCTAAGTTTTTGTAAATGTGAGTGCCCTGTAACCTATTATAATTAAGTAAGACTTGTAGAATATAGGTACTTGTGTCGGCTGGGAGCTGTCATGCTCACTCAGAGGTCTCATTGGCGGTGGCACGGGCGCTGGATCGCCCAATTCCCTATAATATGGTTGAGTTGGGCGGTGCTGGTGTACGTGTCATGTTCGTGAACGGGCGCCGCCTATTGGGGACTGGTCAGCTCCAGGCTGTCTAATTATGTTGTCCTTGAGGTTCACTTCTTTTTCGTACTTTTTGCCTGAACATTAGTGTTACATTGTTCTCACATATCAGAACCGACTAAATGATGTAACAAAGAAATGTATTGTAAAACTGATTGAAAAAGAGTAACCATGGAGTTTCTTGCTCGTTCTTCTCCATAGGAATCTACACTTTGGAACGAGCAAATAGCTTCACTAGAGGACAGACGGACAGACTGACACGCTTAATTTTAAAGCTCTTGTTATATACTTTTTTTCCTTTTTTGCTTGCTTGACGTTCAAAAGTGCCTACTGTGGTCTAATTGAAATAAATGATTTTTGACTTTGACTTTGATTATCAGAAGTAAATAGACTTAGTTATTTGTAATGGAATATTCCAAGATTTACTCATCATAAACGTATATTTTTTGAGCTAATATACCCGTGAATAATACTAACAAGAAATTCAACATTCAGTTCCAAAATTGAGCAAATGATATACGACACTAATTCCTAACGTGGAATCATTAAAACATTTAGCTTGTTAGACACTACTTGAGTTATATTCATGTAAACCACGGGATTGTGACCCTACAGAGCTCGTTTCTCCTCCTCCTCGCTTATTATACAAATATTGCCGTGAGCGGCACAACCGAATCAGACGCAACTTATTGTTAATTTATATTCATCTGCTTTTATTGAATTAACATTGTTCGTTCTTGTTTTTTCTTTAACTATCATTATTGTAATTGCCGTGTTTTTATTATGAGTGAAGTACATCTGTATGCCGACAAATAACTTTGTTTATTGTCTATGATATGTTATTGCTTCAACAGGCTTGCAGGTTTGGGAAAATTTGATGGTGCTTGCTATTTTAATAAATGTATTTTTGTGTCAAAGATTTCACTAATATTAAATTCAATTGTTACAGGAAATGCTGTTCGACTCTTATAGGTAAGTTCAAATTAATTAATAATTGTCTTCTCAAAAGGGCTATCGAATATCGTCTTCGGAAATTTTCTTTGTTACTTCATTTATTTATAACAAAAAGGCAACAGGTGTCCTAATTACGTTATTTGATTACAGACAGGAAAGTCTTTTAATTAAAACCAAGCAACTAGCCTCTAATCCTCTTAATGTTTACCCCAAAAAAGCTTCCTAAATTCCCTTTGAAAATGTATACAAATCTAATAAGAATTTAACACAAATCTGAAACTTTTGAAAACTTTCGAGTTTAGGTTCCGACGGATAAATGTTTTTGTTATCTGCCTTTTATATCATTGTTTCTTGGTAACCTTTGATTTTAAAGACAATCGACTGGGCAACAATTAATGCCGTTTCTGCTCAATTTGAAATTCAAATTGTTTGATAAAGATAATGTTATTTTCCAACGTTACGGCAACAAACTATCTCTACAGGATCATCTTGAACAAGCTTTACTTGGACCAGAGTTACTTGTTATCCGTTTATTTAAGTTCGAGAATGTCTTATTACCATAATCATTCATAGTGATATATATTTTCGTTGTTCTAGTCTTTTATCATAATAATCATGTGTTCACTGAACATTGACCGCCTACGGCTGGTTATTTCGTGTATCGTAAGGTATTCGGTTATTCCATTTCGTCGAATAAACATTAGATATATCTGTTTACCATCAATTTGTTTCGCCTCCTGCGGGCACGCCTCCGTATCGAGTATTTTACAGACAGTTTTCGTATCCTCTGTACTGTAAAATATTAGCTACATATTCTCTTTTATATCTTTGTCGTTATTTTGTTCATTTATGTTCGTTTTAGCAATTAAGATTTATTATTTATTATATAAAATATTGCAAATATTGTAGTCATTATTTTTTCTTCTTTCCAAGTCTGTCATCATCTAGTCTAGATTACAGGTTTGTTATCAAAGTACTGTTATTTTCTAGTCCACTGGACCTCAACGATTCTTGGCTTCCGACTTCATAGTGGGAGTAAAAAACCCCTCACTTGTTTGCTGTGAATGACTAATTGATAAGGGGGGAACAAGTACTTCGTCAGAACCGGTGATTTAGTTTGGTACATCAAGTTCAAAAAGATGAATAGTGTTTTAATTGAATAAGTGCTGTAATTTGTTATACATGTTATGAGGGCACTGATGTCATATGTTTCATCTAATTATTAGTCTTTTAAACATTTTTCAATTGGAAAATCAAATATCATCAATACCCATTTCGTATGATATGAAATGTTAGCTTTAAACGCATTCCGCAAATTCTTCGTCCGCCGTAATACCTTTGCAATCTTTTTCAAAGTATGAAAAATTTGCTTCACAAAACGAAATGTAATGCAATCCGAAATCCGATTTGCCTTTTCAAATCCTTTCCACAAACATTCAGTTAGCTCTAGAAAGCAACAAACACAGTTTACTTAACATCCGCGTCTGTATGTACTGTGACTTTTATATGTGAAATTTATTCATAAAGAAGTCAGTGAGAATGTGTCCAAACAGCAGCTTCAATGAATGAATCGCTTTTTTTGTTACCGTTGGTAGTCCCGTAACGAGCATGTTACCATTTCCGAGATACGATTAAGATCGAGTTAAGTGATAACTCACATTATATTTAGTTTTCGAGGCACTGGCAAAGTTTTCTGGCTTCGCACCAAATTGTATTTGGGCGTGTCCTTCGCCTTCCTACTTTAGCTTTGTTACTTAACGTCAGATAAACGATTTGTTCTTAAAATTTTCCGGTGTAGAATTTTATGTCGGAAATTCTTTGAAGTCCGTTTGTGTTATTCTCGTGTTTATGCTATATGGGCACTCCAGTTTTGCTAGAAATCGCTGCAGCATTTTTAGTTGACACCACCACTGGAAAAGGTATTTTATTTCGTAACAAGAAAAATGTTTTCACCTAAACTTTTCTCTAAAACTCAGGCTTGATGAAAAATATTTAGCTTTTATTTCTCCGGTAATTTATTCCTACAAGTAATTAATGATTCTATACCTAGCCAGCTATAGGTATTTCGGCCTCTCTTTACTCATGAATTTTATATGAACCTCCTCTGCAGGTTCATGAATATTCATTATTCTACATGTATCAATGATTAGCTTTGTCCATCAATGTCTGCATTTGTATCTTTCCACAAACTTGTATAAACGAACAATGATTGTCACTCGTCAAGTACTTTTAACAATGTAAACAAAAATTACTTATCAACGAGGAAGCAAAGCTGTTTTCTCATTGCGAAACGTTGAAACATCATATAGCACAATGTAGCTGATATAACATGGCGTCTCGGGCAAAACAATGGCTTTTTAGTCACGCCTTGAAACTTTTCAAAGCGTCTATACAACGTTTATGTTGCGGTAGGAGTTGTGCTCACATGCGACTTTTAATCGATGGTGTTATGTTGCTGGTTGCGTAAATTATATCCGTGTACATTATTGATTTTAATGGTCTCTCTTCAATATTTGTTTCTGATTCTGATCAATCTATAATAAATATTTTAAAATTTTACGTCACGGAGATGTAGACAGAGGTAAGTATATACAGTAGATTCACTAACATCGTTGGCTTTCAAAAATTCGTTACTTACTCAATATATCTTATCTGTTACATATTCTTTTGAATCATAGAAGTATTCTTACCTAAAACAGTACTCCAATCCCTTAAGCAAGATAAACGAAAAATATAAGTTATAAGATTGTAACCCGCTATAATCGTTCGTTTGCGTTATCTCTAACAGTTTATTCGCACGCCAGTTTTCGATACATTAGGCAGAAAGGTCGAAATCGAAGTCCATTACTTAGCACTGACCATTCTGATCAAGGACTGTACGACTTTGGTAAAGCTAAATAGAATTTATTTACACCATTTTGTAGTGAATGAAATTATGATTGAAGTTTAGTGTAAGGAAAATAATATTTTTAGTGTCAGAAATGGTTTAAAGGCTGTGAAAATGAATTTGCACAAACAGTTTAGCCAAGTTATCACAAGCACCATAACTAGAGCAAAAACTATAGTTTCAGTCCATGACATTGAATGTTCGGTCGCCCGATTTTCTGAATACCTTGTAATTTGAAAATGTACCCGATGTGTACAATAGATTTGCACCTGTTACAAAATGACTCATATGACTGACGAAAATTATGTTTCGCATACAATATTTTCTGCCTGACCCTTAGGGGAAAAGGTGTTATATGTGGTTACAGATCGTAAATGTCCATTCGTGAATGTAGGCTTCCCCTAACCGCGAGAATAAATGTTCCTAAGGGAACTATTTATTGCATCGGACTTATGCACACGGCACTAATTGTCTGATTGTCCGTTTGTTTGTTCAATAAACTGGCTGCCTTATGTCTAAATAATAAAGCTAGTGAAAATAGTGCTTTGTGTGCTTCGCTAAATGTTGTAATTTATTTAGTTTAACACTCCAATGGGCTGGAGAGTACCAGCTTTTTGGGTTGCCTGTTTGTTTTCCTATGTGTGGGAGTAGATTGTTATCATATTCCGCCAACAGATTTAAAGCAAATGTTAAAATTTGCAACAGTTCTCGATAATGTCCCTCCTAAATTATTAGTTGACTTTACATTATGCTACTTTATTTAACATGAAGTTTTAGTTGTGAAACTTTGAAAGTATTACACGTAAAAGTTTCTTGGCGTCATGGTGCTAAAACACCTCTTGGAATAAAACTATCATCAATATAAAAATAAAGATAATTATGGCTTGTGGTTGCCGTAAAAGGCGATCAGATTTTCATAAAGAAATCCAAAAAGAAACGTCTAACATAAACCGAAGAACGGGCTGTTGATGATTCTCAACATTTTAATAGTCTCTGCAGTGGTTCGATATAAAACGACGATAAATTCTATAAATATCGCCTCTGTTAGCTCCATCGGCCACCCTCCGTGTGGCTGGTGACTCATACATAGGGGTAGATCCAGATATATTAATAAAGGAACCCTGTTTGGTATTTAATATTACAAGTCTTTTATATCCTAACTTCACAACACGTTATTGTTTTTGCTGTGCTTATAATCGGTAGAAAATTTGCCACTGAGTTAATTGAATTAGGAGCAAAATAATACTGAACTACCGACATGTGTATTTACAGAGTTTTTATATTATTAATCGAATTAAATAATTCTCGTTTATCTGTCATAAAATATGTCTGAATAACAACGATCGTACAATAAGATTGCCATCAAGGCTCTCCAGTACAGTACAATAAATTCACCCAAAATGCAAACTTACGTGACACATCAACATAAACCTTCGGCTTCCATTTCCTGGATTGCTACTGCACCTGTACTGTTGCCAATATTGAGGGCTACGTCATCATTTCGATTTATTCAAATGCTTTTTATGCGAGGGGACGTGAGGGTAGGTCCGGGCGTTTGACAAATTGCCCTAAAGCCAGACAGAGGACCGTGAATGTGTGCGTGCTAGATATGTTGAACTGGGGGTCTCTAGAGCCTAAGGGAGTGGATTTTTCGTTATATTTATTGGTTTTAATAAGACTGCTGTTAAAAGTGAAGTGAGTTAGAGGAATATCGACTTTATGGATGTTGTTCAAGGATGTTTTCTTGGTAATACGGTTTTATTTATTTGCAATCGGCGTATTGTTGAGAAATGACGGTAGCGTAATAGAATTAATATTTCGTTGCGCACAAAGAAATATATCCTTCAAATCCGAAACAAAATTGGGTTTACATTAAGAGCTCAAGTTACAATAAATTAAGGTGCGGCTAACTTTTATTTATTCAATTACTTATTCTGTTACTTAGTGAAACTTTCGTACTTGCCAATAACTCCTTATCCAACTCTCTTTGGCAAATTTTGTTTACGAGGTTTGTTCGTGTTAGCCAAACAAAAGCCTTTAGTTCTTCACTCCAGACTGTCGCGACATCTTCAACGTTCCTTGTGTTCCCGTTTTTCATGGCCCCACTAAGTCCCCCTGCCTAGTATGAGCC